TTGGTCCGCATTCTGGGCTAAGTTGACGGTCACGTCAGTCATCTCTTTATACCTCTCTGTCGTCGCGTTATTCATGTCCTCCAAGAGCTGGTAGTCCTCGAGAGTCACTGCGAGACAATTGTGTCACCAATTAATAGCCATTTCATACCACAAGAAGTGATCAATTGATACAAACGATTGAGTTCTGCGGACAAATAGTCGGACGTCTTGTCAAACATGACCTTCGCTTTGGCTTTCAGTTGATTCTCATCGCATCCGTTGGCATCGCTTCCCGAAGACATCACTCGAGCGCTTCCGACGGCTATTCACACGTGAAATGAAATCAAATGTCAAAACAAGTGCAGTGTTTGTGTTGACACTCGGGTTGCCATTGGAAACACTCAGGCATTCACTGAGCGCTCAGTTTAAACCGATTCTCACTTTCGGTGTTATATTTGTTTTGAAAACTTATTATAGACTTAATATTAATTCAATTTTATAAGTTTTACGTACAATTTATTTATTTATTATCAACTTTATTAATAAATTAATATAAACGTCTTGATGAGGTAACAAACCATTTTCAGTTTATAATTTAATCATTGTTTTCATAAATGTTACTGGATACATATTGAATTTCATTTTTATATTAAATTTAGCTAGGTTTACATTTAAGTTAATTAATGTATGCATGAAATGAATGGGAAAGTCTATAAATTAGTATTATTAACATTTATATAGCAATCTGATGGCCTCGGCGTCCATAGCGGTGAGGCCGGGCTTGTCGTAGACCTCCTTCATGCCGAAGCCCTGGTGTTTGGGCGCCATTGTGAAAAGTCTATAAATTAGTATTATTAACATTTATATAGCAATCTGATGGCCTCGGCGTCCATAGCGGTGAGGCCGGGCTTGTCGTAGACCTCCTTCATGCCGAAGCCCTGGTGTTTGGGCGCCATTGTGATGGACTGGCCGTCTTTGCTGAAGGAAAGGGGTCCGTAAAGCATCACAGAGTTGTAGTCAAATGGTGTCAGTATTTGGTTCTCATCCGGTCTTAATTTCTTGAACTCTTCGCTATACGAGGCGTCGATATTTTGCCAATTAATTGATAGGTAGCTGTAATTGACATCATATTTCCATTAACACGACTTAGCATTAATTTATATTTTATAATCACTACTTACTCATCGCGATCCGAACGATTTTGTTCATGGTAGAAACCTGTAAATGTATTTATTATAGTTATCAATGTTCACATAAAGAGATTGTTTTGAAAAACTTTGTCAAAAGTAATATTTGTTTAAAAGTTTTCTAACCGACGGTATGCATGAGTTCGTGGACAATAGTGCCGGGGAAATAGCAGCCCTCACCCAAAGACACCATTTCGGGATTGTCGTCATCTTTGCCAATGGTTGCATAACATCTAAGTTTGGAAATTCATTGTCAAATTAGTTGCAATTCATTAATTTTGTAAATCAATTATTCAATGAATACCCGAAGCCTTTAAATATCCTGATATAATGTTTGTCATTCACATTTCTCTCTCGAAATTTAATACACGTGTGTTGTTTGAACTGATCCATTGCCTCAAATATTAGCTTGCTGTGTTTATCTGTAAATTTATTATAATTAGGGCAACGTTTTTATTATATGTGTTAATAATTAAATTGATTACCGAGTGAAGGGTCGATGTAATAAGGAATCTCAGCGTTAGGCCATAGCCAGGAACTGTAGGGAACGGCATTTCTGTTCTGATTTAGAAATTATAATAAATATATTAATTAAAACTCAATTACATTTAGTAACTTGCTTGAAATCGTCTATGATGGAAAATGTCACCACTAAATAGATTTGGATTATGCAGTGCTCTCAATGGTTTTGGGTAAGGGTCTGATCGGGCCGTTCTCCAGTATTTTCTCAAGTTATTGCCCCTTTGCACTGATTTATATACAATTTTGTCAAATTAACAATTAAGAGTAATATTAATAAACACTTTTAATTACCAGGAACTGCCATTACTAAATTTGCTATTATTAAAAGCAAAATTGAGATCTTGAATATTTTAATCGCGGTATACATTATGCACAACACACACAATCAATATTTGTAATAATATAAATTCTTATATAACTTAATTAGCAAACAATCACTACTTGTAATTTAATAAGATTTGGTTTATCTTAAGATTTGTCACAAGTAAAGTTGTTTAGGTGAGAGACTTTCTAATCATATCATAGAAATAATGGGAACACACCTAAATATATTAACTTTAAATGTTCATTAACTTATATAACTTGACATTTTTCACTTATCTATTAAAGAAAATAATAGTAAATAGCTGTTTATTAAACCATTTTATAATTTTAGTGAGTCAGTCAGTCATTAACAGTAATAGTTAGTGAATTAAGAATAATATTAAGACATTTGATTGCAATATAAAGTGTGCAATTGATGAAAACCATAAAAGGTATTTATTTAATCAATTGTGTTCCTGATAAGAATTGATAACTAATTACAAACATATAACAGTTATAACTTATAAGTATTAGTTACACAAATATCTTACAAAACAAATAGTCGGCAAAGTTTTGAGATAAAAGCTACACCGGTAATAGTTACGAAAATTGAATGAAAGTCTGATGCTTGATGTTTTATGTTTTAATGATTAAATATTTCAAATATTTACAATTATAACATTTTGTACATTCAAAATATTTATTTATGATATAATAAATGTAAAAATTTATACAAAACTTAATATTATTCAATTATCACAATAATTTTGATAAGTATATTTAGTTTTAAAAACTTAATGTATATTTTTGTTATTAATATCTACCTACTGTATACTTTTAAACTACATTTGAATAATATTAATGATTGGTATAAGAAGCAATTGATTATAATTAAAATATACTATCGATACTTAAAACATTATAAATTTATTATAAATATTTCATAAAATAATATAACAATTAGTTATTTTAATATAATTTAAAATGAGAGTTAAGTTTGAAAAATTATTTTATACATTAAAAGTTATTTAAATTAAAATATAAATGATTAAATCATTCACATACAGGCGTTAGAGCTGGGTAAACTTATTAATAATATGAGTTGTACTTTCATATAAATTATGGAGATTAGCACATGAATGAATTTTTATTTAAACCTAATAACGCCTGTATGTGAATGATTTAGTCATATATGTATTAATATTTATAAGTATTTAAAAATTACAATAAATTTGTTCTACAGTTAAGCCAAAAAATTATTAATTTGTTAACATTTTTTATAATGATTAAGTGAACAATTTTTTCAATAATATTTTATATTAATTGGGATATAATTAATGTACAAATAATATTTGTTAAATGTATTAACCGATTAGTATATAATGTGAAATCACAGATAGTTTCAGATATTGTACTCGGCGTCGGGCTCTTCCTTTTCCTCATAATTAATATTTTTGTTGGGAATCAGAAATGATATCAACGATGAGATTATTAGCATAATACCGGCGCACCAGAATAGGATCTGATACGAGTCCGTCATATCAAATATTACACCTAATTGTTGGT